TTTAAGAGTCAAAAGTAACCAAGTGCAATGTGTGATTCTGTAATGGATACTGGTCAAAATATATGTATTTATTTATTTATTTATTATATTTATTATTTCTTTTTCTTCCTCTATAAAGGCATTATTGGAGCAATTGGGGAAATGTAAATAAGGTCTGTAGACTAGATAAAGGAGTGAATGAATGTTCATTACCCGATTGTGATAAATGTACCGGTCTTTAGGAAATACACAGTGAAGGAATTAAGGGTAAAGAAACATCATGTCTGCAACGTACTCTTAAATGGTTCAGAAAAAAATAATAGAGAAGATGACAAAACAAATGTCGCAAAATGTTAACATTTGAGGAATTTGGGTGATGGGTATTTTTTCTGACGTATCTCCTCGGGCGAGGGAAACAAATGAATAAAATAAACAAATGGGACTACATCACACTAAAAAGTTTCTGCCCAGCAAGGGACACCATCAACAAAATGGAAAGACAACCTACTGACTGAGAGAAGATGATACCGCTGATAAGGGGTTAATATCTGTAACTTATAAAGAGCTCATACAACTCAACACCAAAATAACAACAATCCAATTAGAAGATGGGCAAAGGGCCCTGGCTGGTAGCTCAGTTGGTTACAGCACCGTCTCGATACACCAAGGTTGCGGGTTCGATCACCAGTCAGGCATAAATAAGTGGAATAACAAATCGATGTTTCTCTCTTTCTCTCTCTCCTCTCCCCCTTTTCCTCTCTCTCTCCCCTTTCCTCTGTCTCTCTCTGAAAATCAATAAATTTAAAAAAAGATGCTCAATGTCACTAATCATCAAAGAAATGCAAATTAAAACCACAATGAGATATCACCTCACACCTATCAGAATGGCCATCATCAATAAATCATCAAACGACAAGTGTTGACGATGTGGAGAAAAGGGAATCTTCCTGCACTGTTGGTGGGAATATAGATTGGTGCAGTGACTGTGGGAAACAGTATGGAGTTTCCTCAAAAATTAAAAATGGAACTGACTATGACCCAGCGATCCTGCTTCTGGGATTATATCCAAAGAAACCCAAAACACTAATTGGAAAGAGTATATGCACTCCTATGTTCATTGCAGCATTATTTACAATAGCCAAGATTTGGAAGCAGCCTGAGTGCCCATCATTAGATGAGTGGATAAAAAAGCTGTGGTATGCACAGCTGGTGCTGCTCAGTGGTTGAGTGTCAATCCTGAACCAGAAGGTCACAGTTCGATTCCAGGTCAGGGCACATGCCTGGGTTGTAGGCTCAATCCCCAGTGGGGGCGTGCAGGAGGCAGTCGATCAATGACTCTCTCTCATCATTGATGTCTCCGTCTCCCTCTCCCTTCCTCTCTCTGAAATCAATAAAAACATGTGTGTGTGTGTGTGTGTGTGTGTATGTTTTTTATGTATATATAAGGCTGTGGTACATTTACACAATGGAGTACTACTCAGTTGTAAAAATGGAAGGAAATCTTATCTACTGGGACAGCATGGATGGACCTGGAGAGTATTATGCTAAGTGAAATAAGCCAGTCAGGGAAAGAAAAACACCATATGATTTCACTTACATGTGGGATCTAATGAACAAAATAAGCAAACAAAATAGAAACAGACTCATAGATACAGAAAACAGACTGGCGAGTGTTACAGGGGAGGGGTGTTTCTGGGACTGGGTGAAAAAGGTGAAGGGATTAAGCCAAAAAAAAACCCAAACTCAGAGGGAAAGGGGGGTGGGAGGAGGCGGAGGAAGGCAAAGGGGGTAATGGAGATGGAGGGAGACCTGACTTTGGGTGGTGAGCACACAATATAATATACTAGTGATATATTATAGAACTGTTCACCTAAAGCCTATATAATTTTATTAACCAATGTCACCCCAATAAATTCAATAAAAGTTTAAAAAATAAATTTAACAAATCAATAAAGTTAAACAGAAAAAAGAAAGGAAGAAAGAAGGTAGAATGGATGAAGGGGAGGAGGGAAGGAAAATAGGCAAATTGCACCCCAGGCTGCAAAGGGCAGCAAGTAATTTCAAGCTCCTGCAAAACAAAAAACAAAACTACACATACCAAAAAAAATTAAAAGTAAAGAGATAGATGCAGGTGAGACCAAGGAGAAACACTAGTGGATGTTGGTTCCACCTCACAATTCCTTTACCACCAGCTGCACGGCTTGGTTTGTTATGGGAGCTCTCAATCTCAGCTCTCTTCCCTATAACCATGGCGATCACAGCCTCACCCCAGGGTTGCTAGGAGGGTTCTCTAGCAAGAACAGTAAAGCAGCTGCCATTTGCTCAGCAGTCTTCCACGCGCTTCACCTACGCTGAATCCTTTGATTCACACATCAGCCTTAAGAGGCTGATCATTTTATCACTGTTTTACAGTTGGGTAAACTGAGGCAGAGAAGCTATGAAGAACACCTAAGGTGGCGAATCAGGAGGAGGTAAAGCTAGAATGGGCACCCAGCCTGGCTGCAGAGAGAAATCAAGGACCAACCCAGGCCTGGAATAGAGGATCACTCAAGAAGCAGCAGTTGGCAAGAAAACCCTAGGAACTGAGGTCTGGTGGGAGATCCTGTCTGTCTAGTGCTGTCCAGAGGCCAGTCCCTGCACCCCTAGGCAAGATCCTGTCCACCCCTATACAATCTCCCTAACAATGAGCAAGGGGACCCTGTGGGGTGTGGTGATGGACACAACTTCAATTCTAGATGCTACTGTTGCTATATAAGCCCAGCTCCTGTGCCAAACCTGGGGGAATATTACCCTGTCCTTCCTTTTTAAGACTTGATTATCAATACATTAAGAAATAATTAATACATTAGTAAATATCAGGTATCACCATGATTATGGCACCCAGTCATTCACATTGCGTTGTTACCAGCTTGCCTTATCACAATACCATCCAATTCATGTGAGGGCTTGCTGCATGCCAGGCACCAGGCAAAGCACTTTACCCAGATCATGCCTTCCAACACTCACAGCAGCCCTAGGAAGTAGACAGGACTTATGATCCCCACCTTTTAGAGATAAAACCAAAACAAAACAAAATCCAAGAGTCACTTGCCCAAAGTGACCCTGGCAACATGCCAGACCCTGGATACAGCCCCAGGCAACGGGAATGACTTCAAAAAAAGGCCTGCGTGTGATGCAAACCCCAACCCCTCGCCCCAGATCGGAGGAATGTCCATCCCCTTGCCACTGAGCCTGCGATCACTCCCATCCAAACCTGGCCATCTTGAGAAAACAGAAAGAACTGCCCCCACAGAACAGGCCTCCCCCGGTCTGCTCCACAAACAGGCCAGGACACCAAGGGCCCCTCACCTGGAAGGCTGGTCCATCTCCTCTCTTGGGGTTTCGAGGCCGGGACTGTTTATTTTGCTTCATCCTGTCCTGGCATTTGGTGCAGCACTGAACACAAGATGGCTTAACGGGGCAGCCAAGGCCCCTGGGGTCTCAATACCTCAGAGAGAAGTGCCAGCTCAGCTTGCTAATTGCCCATTGTCTCACCATAGCGACTCCGGCTGAAAACATAATGGGCTTCTCCTTCGCTCCATCTCTGGGCCATCCGTTTAGGAGCTTGACCTTAGGGCACGCAGCTGCAATCGGGGAGGAGCCAGGATTATAACCTATCCTACATGTGAAGAAACAGAGGCTCAGAGGTGCCAAGTCCAACTAATGCTCACAGGATACAGTACACATGCACCCCTCGTTTACACACCTTTCTCCCTCAGCACACCAGCTGACCAGAATTAACCTCTGGAGTATTTAAATCTTTGGGCTCCTTTTCCCTGACTAGGCTAGGGGTGGTGATATTACCAAAAGGGGACCTGGCCCTTAGAGGGTCTCCCTAGGGCTGGCAGGTAGTGTGTGGGTTCTTGACTTCATGCAGGAAGATTTCACAACAAAAGCCCAGGTGATTTTGAGGGTTAGCTTATTAAAGCTGGGGACAGTGAAACAGGGAAGGGCTTAGCATAGAAGCAACAGGAGATCCTCGGCTAGGCTGCTTTGGTTCTCTGAAAATGGTATAGGGAAGAAATGAGCTAAGGCGGGGCTGCTCACTGGGAAGTCAGAGGAAAGGGAGCCTTGGAGACATCCATTTGTTGCTCCACTTACTTATATGTTCGTTGGTTGGTCCTCGCATATGTCCTCACCAGAGATTGAACCAGTAACCTTAGAATATCAGGACAATGTTCTAACCAACTGAGCCATCCGGCCAGGGCTTAAACCTTTTATTCTTAAATTTCCTTGGTTTAGGGAAGATAGGATTGACTACACAGGTGCAAACTGCTTGGCTGTTTAACTGTTTCCCTATCTCACTTGTAAGGAATTTTCCTAGCCTCTTGCTATCCTGTCTCAGGGAGACACAAGGCTCATGGCATACTAGGCTCTGGGCTTGGGACACCTGGCTAAGTGGTCCAGGTAAACTTGAAGATGGAACTACAGAAGGGAGTTGCAATGCTAAGCTTAGAAGAGCAACAGGTCCACAATCCTCCCCAAAAGCTGAAGCCACGGGCAGCTAGGTTAGAATCACCGGGACACCCCCAACCAGTCCTTTCCCTGGGGCCAAGTCCCCTCCCTGAATGTGACTAAACAGCAACATGATGACCTGAGAACAGTGGAATGAGGTGCTGGAGAATCCCACAAAGGCACAAAGAGCTGGGAGATATAAAGCCTTTAAATGAACTAGAAATCCATTTGCTAGCCCAGTGTGGTCTCTGGAACAGAGGCATGGAATTCTCAGTCTCCACTCTACACTCAATCGAAAACTCCAAGTGAGGTCCAGAAATCTCTTTTGAACAAACCTGCCAGGGGTTACTGATACACTGGAGTTTGGAGGCCGGGGCCCTAGACCTTGCCTGCTTAGTCACCACGTATTCTGCACTGTGCTTGCTCAGTGAATGACCTATTCCAACAGCCCACCTTTTCACTTTAGTAAGGCCCTTCTCCCATACCCCAACCATCTGACCTGCAAAAGAACACAAGGGACACCAGACTGTTATAGAGAAATACTGATTTTAATCCAACATAAAGTAAACTCTAGGCATCCATTCATCTTTCAGCCTAAAAATTAACAAAACTGTTGAAACAAGGCACAATTTTTTCCCCATTCTTGTTATGTGACTCCGGTTACAAAAAAAAAAAAATTTTTTTATGAAAATGGTAGAACAAAAATAGAAGTCTGAGACTTTTTTTTTTAAGTGTATAAAAAAAAAAAAAACTCCCACAAAACCTGTCAAAGTTATTCCTTATTCTACAAAATAGCACCAGTAAGAAGAGTAAAGGTGTTAAAAACCATTACGACAGCATTTCTGAAATGCAGCTTGTCCAACCTCCTGTTATCCTTAAAAACAAATTATCACGGAATAAAAAAGGACTTTAAAATCTCTGGAAGGAAGGTGGAGCTTTTATTGCAGTTTTCCCCCTGCAATCTTAGATGAGGGGAAAGTGCGAGGAATGTGCTTCTACCCCTGGCTGTCACTGCGTCTGTGTTTAAAGAAAGACTGAGGAGTTGGGGTCATACTTCTAATCTGGGGGACCTGTATCTGCGATGTCTGGAGGGTGCATTTGGGGGGGTCCTTATCTAAGCCTCCCTTTTCAGCCCCCTCACATGGGGAAGATAGAAGCCATACCTGCCTACATAATATATGGCAGCTTATAACCCCAGCCCACCCCTTCCTGAGCTCCCCGAAGGGTCTACTGCAGTCACTGAGAGGGATTTAGCTAAAGATGGCCCTTCCCTTGGGTCTGTGGAGGGAAAAATACCCTGAATGTGATTATGAGGTCATCCCTGCTGAAATCCTCACCAGTGTGAAAATTTTTCAATGCGCCCCAACAGTGTGCATCCCAGCCCTTTATACTGAGGCCAGAGGAACGTGCTGGGTAAAATTCAAGAATGGCAGACATAAATTCCTCTTCTGCCCTAGGAACAAAGCATCCTGGTCCCTTAAAATGTCCCTCAGCTACATGTATACCACTGCACATTGCTGGAAACAAGTTGCCGCAGACGCTTAAAAAAAAGTATTGCAGTAACTGTCTCGGTGACTTTTCAGCCTTAACCTGAGTAGTGGAGAGCTGTCAGTAGTGTGGTTTTGGTATATTAGCCATTGTTTCTGAGTGGTAAATCCAGGAGGGAAAAAAAGCCATCTTTACTAACTACTTCAAGTTTCAAAGTTTTAGAAGACAACATGAGCACCGTGTTTGGCTGTTCCAAGCAGCCAAGGTGAATTGTGCGCAAGGAAGTGGCACCTTGGGCTCCCCCAGCCAGGAGGGTGTCAGGCGGCTCTCACCCAAGGTACATGGTGTGACCCCACCACACAGCTGAGCTGAGGAAGGACAGAGCCTGGGATGCACCGCCTGGGTCCCAGCTCTGCCCCACACACCCCAGTGCCTGGGGCACTATTCACAGGCAAAGTAGTCCTTCAAGGGGGCGAAGAGGTGTCGGATGACAGGCACACTCCAGGACCTCCCGAGCAGCTTCTGGCGGGCACCACGGCCCATGTTGGACACATCCGTGTAGTGTACAGGAAAGCCGAAGATCCTGGGAGGGGGCACCAGAGTGAAAGACAGGGAGTCAGAAGTGCACTTCGAGCATGCTTAGTGTCGCTGGGACATCCTCACCATGGCCCCATGCGGCACCACTTTCTGCGCTTTGTCCAGGCTTACTATACGAGCCCTCTGTTTTTAATTTTAGGAAGACACCTTTTTTTTTTTTTTAATCTTTTCATTTTTATTGGAATTAATTTAAAACTTACAGAAAAGAATACTTTTGTACCCTTGACTCATTTGCACATGGCCCTCTCTTGACGCCCAGGTCAGGTACAGGGTTCTTCAGAACACAACTGTTACTCATGAGGGCACGTGTTATGTGCATCCCAGCATTACCCCATGCCTCTGGAACATAGTAGGTGCTCAGTGGACCTTTCTCAAATGAATGAATGCCAAGACAGCCAGCTAGAAGACAGAGGTGTATCTGTCTTCAAACCACAAGATGGGAGAAGTTAGGCAATTTCCTTCATAAGGAACAAGGACACTTGCAAAAATGAACCTTACTGTCAACCATCAGATGCTCAGGCAATTTGCGTGAGCACACTGAAGCGCCCCGCGTTCTCTTTCCCTCTTCAAACCCAGTTGCTGGATCAAGAGCCAAGCTGGACTTAATGGCAGATAACAACCAAATATACTGAAAGCCTTTCTTGTGGGATTTTCCCAGGCCCGGTAAGAGGTTACAGATATAGTGGACTTCATTCTTACTCAGGGTTTACACTAAAAAACCACAAAATCACACCAATGGGCCAATGCTGAATGGATATTAAAGAAATATGTAAAGTTACGACACTTCGGGCCTCTGCTTTAATTTGAATACATACTGATAGCCATCTGCACCAACCCTCGTATCACAATTCTGGCCCAACATGTTAGGCTAGGGTCTCAAGAGACAGTTGACCCAGCAACACAGGGGAGGTCAGGGGTTCTGACCACCCCGACTCTGTGCAGTTGAAAATCCAAGTATAACTTTGAGTCCCCCAAAAGATAACTATTGGTAGGTCACTGCTGACCAGAAGCCTTACTGATAACATGAACAGTCAGTTTGTGTATATTTTATGGTAGTAAGTGATAAAACAAGTATCTACATATATTTTATTCATTTATGGCACACCTAATCTTTTCTTAATTTTTTTTATATTCCTAGACGACATGATTCATCGGCCAGTTTTGTTGCAAATCTACAGAAAATTTTCTAATATATTTATTGAAAAAAATCCACGTATAAGTAGACCCGAGCAGTTCAAACCTGTGTTGTTCAAGGGTCAACTGTACAGAATAATTCACAACACCAGTCTGTTTCCATTAATCGGAAATTACTTTTGTACTAAGAAAACTACTGTTTATTAAAGAATAAAACTGGTTGTAGAACTGAAATATCAGGAATGAAAATACTCTATCAAATCCTTCAAGATGTAGCCAAAAAATGTAGAGAGGAAAATTCATAGCCCTTCTTACATTTTTAACAAAAATATTCTAACAAAAATAAGAACAAAATAAACAAGAATAAAAGGAATGAGAAAAATAAATTAAAACCAGAATAGAAGAACTGAAATTTAAGAGCTGGTTCTTTGAATCAAAATGGATAAGCTACCAACTTAGCCAAACAAATAGAGAAAGCAAACTGTGGCTAAGTAGGAATCAGTTACAGAAGACCAAGTTGGCAGAAGGAATCTTCTGAGAAAGAGCAATGGCATGTCAGTGGGGTTTTCTTTAGCTGGTTCCTCTTACATCCTAGTGTCCCAGCATGTTGAGGCAGGCAGATGCCAGCCAGGGCAGTGCAGCCAACACAGACAGATGGTGCTGTCTAATGACCTCATGTTTCACAGATTCCTCACCACCACCACCCTTCCACCATTTCTGGCAGGAAATAAGGATTAACCCTGAAGAGGTATTACTCCCAGCCCCACTAACATAGAAAGAAGGTCAGTGGGTCCACGTAAAATAAAGGCAGGCAAGCCCAGTTTGTGCCGCTGGCCTTAACCACATTTCTTCCCCTTCCTTTCTGTCTGCATTGTTTCCCTCTCCACACGCAGCCTCGCTCACCTTTCTAGCTCAGTGCACCACAAAACATCTTCTTTGCCATTCATGACAACAGGGAAAAGCTGGTTTTTCCCCTGCCTGATCGAGTTCGACTTGGTGGTTATTGTCTGTACTTTCTTTAACTGGAGATGAAACGACATGGAGTGAGCGCAGGGTGAAGGGTTCCGGGGTGAGTCAAGGCTCAGAAGGCCCTAGGGAAGGTGGGGGAGGGGAAGGCGGGGAG